TGACCATCTCCACCCCTTAGATCTGGATCCAACTCTGCACCATGGATCTCTTGTACTGAAATGACGTACTTCTGCGCCACAGTGAAGGAGACAGAAAGAATGGTGTGGTTACCATCCACTGAAATCTATCATGCCGACATCACGCATCCTCTCCGGAGAATCCTTACTCTAAGAATGTTGTTTATCAACACCAAACAATGCCTCCTGAGTTTACAAATATAAATGTAATTATCTTTGAGAAATTACATTTTTAAAACAAATGCCAGTCAAAGCCTTAAAGGGGTCATGAACTGGCTTTTTACATTTTATTATATTGTTGTCAGAGGTCAACTTATGACGTTCGCTTGGATTTTGCATTCAAAAACATCAAAATGAAAGTAATAGGCTATTTTCTACCCTATTTTTGAGCTTAGCTGAAAAACGCTCGGTTTTTAATGGGTGTCTCGCATTGAAGACTTGGAAAAAAACGCCCACTGCTGTGAGTGGATAACAGTTTTGCATATTATAATCAGTTTCAACTCACCCTTCGGTGCACTTGGGGGAAATTGTTTTGAAAATGTCCAATGTTGTAAAATGGCAACCGGAATGATTCGTTTGCTGAGGCTAGTGTCAATAAAGGTTTTAGGCTATTGGACTAACAAGGACGTTTTCAGTTCTGAAATTTACAGGATATTCTTCTTATCATATGATGACCTCTTAGATGTCAAAAGATTTCTCAGTTCATCACCCCTTTAAAATAGGCCTGTAGTGGCCTGTTTTATATTACACTGACTCTTCTGTCTTCCTCATGCTGCAGGGTATACCAGACTGAAATAGATGGTGTGGATCTTTAAAAAAGTCTATACCCCAATAATAACAACAATTATAATAATACAATATAAAATTGAAAAATAATTTGCCATTCTGGAAATGTTTTGTTCTATATACAATGCTGCCCTCCTATGGTGAAAGTAAAAGGCACAAGTGAAACCAAACTCCTACACCTACATTTCATGGAAGTCGGTCATCTTCAGTCTACATAAACTAATTAACATATTTGTTGATGAAAAGTAAATATTAAAGTTCCAGTTCTTCCTCAGCTTCCCAGAAGAGCTGGAATAAAGTGCAGTAGGAGGGATGACATTATTATTTAGCGATTCAGAGGCATCATTAGGTATTTGTAACAGATTTATGGCAGCACTAGGTGGATCATCGAAGGAACCTCAGGCCAAGCCCCATAATTAAGGACCCAGCATGCCGTTCGGTGCCAGGTGTACCACCAGTCTGTCTGTCATCACTAGAAAGGTGTGAGATTGCCATTAGGTCACCTCTCCAGCCTACCCATGTAATAATGAATCCTAGTTTTCTCCTGTGTCGTAATAAGCCTTGTTGGACAGAATTATTAAGAGTATATAAGTTAATACGTTGGAGTTTTGGAGAGTGTATGTTTTATAGTTTTACACTCTAGGAAAGGTCTGAATTTTTGTGCAAATCTACTGCTTTTAAATCTTAAGCTTCTCAAAGGAATACGTGCAAGAAAGAGGTTTTGTTTAATAATTCATGCACTCATATACTAAAGATATAGGAGAGAGAGAGAGAGAGAGAGAGAGAGAGAGAGAGAGAGAGAGAGGTGTTAAGATACAGGCAATTAGTCTATAGCACTTTAATGAGCTGTGCCTATTCCAGGATCTTTACTGCACAAGAGGTTAAAGAACATTGTTCTTCAAGATTACGTTACTGCCTGTTTTATAGTTTAATAGAAAACAAAAGACAGACGTACAATTACTTTTCAAGCCTCTTTTCAGAATCTACTGTAAACATTTTTATTTTTATCATTGAACAGCATGTTGGATTTCACAGTGCCCAAGGCAACTCTTCAAATACTATTACTGTAGAAACTAGATGGCTTTTGTATAGATGAAAATGATGGGTTTTTTTAACCCCTGCCCCCTCATTCCCCACGAACTCTGTTGCCATTTCCATACAAGGCAATTGTCTTGCCTGGAAAGTTTATTTTTACATTCTTTTCATAGGATTAAAGTAATTTATTTCAGCTGTGGACCTGTATCAGTGACTCAGAGGTTTAAAAATAGTCCTGGAGGAATGTGATTCTGAAAGCAATAAGAAAACGTGAAATTTCATTTCATGGGGAAAAACAACAACCAAATCAAACATTTTTTATTTTTTATTTTATTTTTTTTTTTTTTAGATTAGGCCTGTGACAACATAATGTGACAGTTTTACTACTGTACAATACATCACTTTACTTTTTCAGAGAAAATTATTATTTTATAAAGGGCTTAAATTATATTACTGCTTTAGAAGTCTATTTTATAATTTATTCCTGCCATATTTAAGATGTCTCCATCTTTTAAAAGTGCTATAACATTGCAGCAGGGGTGTCTCCACAATGACCTTGCAGTTCCCAATCACAACTGTCAGGTAATTAACACCTGCATACTTTGCCAACTTGTTAATTCATAGGTGTACCACATGGTAGCTGCTGATAAATCTTACAGAAGATATATCAGAATATTATACCATGCATGTACAGGAGGGCAGCCTTTTTTGGAATATATTGCCTAATTAGTTTAAAACAGTTTAAGTTTAGTTTAAGTTACTTTGTATAGTTTTTGAGATCTTCTTCAGATGATTGTCAAATTTTAATTGAGGGTCAAGGACCAATCCAAGGTATTTAAAATCTTTTACCACTTTTATAGTTGTATCTTGCAAATTAATTTGAAAATTTTGTTCCACAACTTGTCTTTTAAAAGAAAAACACATTGCTACAGTTTTAGTTGAATTATACCAACTGATTTTGAATGAGCCATTTACTGACCTCCGCCACACAAGTGGTCAAAACCTCAAAGACTTAGCAGGTGCATAAAAAACAGTATTGTCCACATAAAGTTGGCAGTTTACATTTGGACAGATTTGGCCCAGCATGGAGCCCTGTGGTATACCCCATTTGAATGCATAAGAGTGGTGACATATCCTGACCAAATTTTAACACATTCAGGTCTGTGTGAACAAAATAACTTATTTTCCATATCAGTCAGTGACGTTCGATGTTACGTCTCAGTGACAAAATGGGATCTGGCCTGCACATTGGCGAGTGAGATTTACATTCCGAGTCACTACGACAAAGTACGATAAAGAGGAAAGATCTTCAAATCTACAGGAAAATGGGAAAAACCGAGGAAAACTGGATTATGGCAGAGTCTTCAAAATGTACTGTTCTCCCGTCTTTGAAACGAAACGTTCATACGTTTAGATGTAATTTTATATATAGTTAAGTTTATTTAATATAATTTTAAAAAGAAGCATAAACACAACGAGGGGTGTCTGTTTTATCTGTTTTTGTGACTAACGTTTCTTTAGTATAATCATGGAGTATTAAATTCAATATAAATTCTCTGTATTGCATTGGACTCTACGATCGGCGGAAGTTATCGAGCATCCTTAAACCTTCACCGGAAATACCGCCGTGCATGGAGCTGTAAATACTATTCTGCTTCCGTTCTGTTTTTACCCAAATTTAGTGACAATACAGTGGATGTCTGACTCAGAGTTAGAACCAAGTATTAAATAAATAAATAAACAAAGAAACAAACTGTACATTACAGTCATACCTTATTACATCTGCATTTAATTAGGTCACAATTATCGGAAATACAGATAGCAGATATTTAGACTTATAATCTCAGATAATAAGAGTACTTGCCACAAGAGGGTGCTCTCAGGCTAGCACAAAAAAGGACTATACTAGCAATTGAACTTTGTGAACTATCCTTCCATTCAGTGCTGGATGCCTATGGAGGAATCTGGACCAAAAGAGACATGCTGCCCATCTGTGAAAAAGTGCTTGCTGGTGGACCTTTTGTTTTAACATACTTTTGTCCATCTTCTCTGGTCTGCATAAGCATTGTGGACTTTGGGTACATGCTGGAATCGCACTGGCAAAGCTCCTGAGTCATCAACATGGCCTGAACTATTGTATGGGGAGATTTACCAGGGGCCATTGACCAGCAGCTGCCTACACAACTAACAGTTCATGCTTTCTGCCTATGCAAACACACAAGCATTCATTCTTTTTAACATACACATGGTTAAAAAACATGTGTGGTATTTATATTCATGCTGACAAGTACTAACAAAAACAAAATTCCTGACCTCAGTGTCTGTATGGTAAAAGACCTGATGAGGCAGTTTTTAAGCCATTTATTTCATCCCAATTCTTCATCTGTCATGCAGATTATAAATAAACCTTAAAAAAGTGTTTAGGTGAAACTTAAATGATCAATTAATTGTTAATGTATTGTAAAATGATATTTTAAATATGTAAATTCAATTTTGTTTTCTATGAAATCATTTTTTTTATAAAAAATATATTTTAAAATGTAAGTTTGTTAGACACCATTGAGAAAATATAAACCAATAGAGGGGAGTATTGAGTTATATCACTTTTTTTACAGTTATATCTTTTGAAAGCAATGCATTGAGTATTAATAAATACCAAAAATAAATTCTGCCTAATATTTTACACACTGTCTGAAAGATATATATATATATATATATATATATATATATATATTAACTAATGCTTTTATTTCAGCAAAGATACATTAAATGTGATTTTAAAATGACAGTAAAGACTTAAAAATTAATTTCAAATAAATTATGTTATTTTCCTATGTATATTATGCTATTCCTCAAAGAATCCTGAAAAAAAAAATGAACATGCATGTTGATACACGTATTATGGTGTATCATTAAATGTGTCACCAAAATGCTGAAAATTCATCACAGGAATAAATAATATTTTAATTTTTATGAAAAAAATAATATTTTGTAAGAAAAACAACAACAATAATAAAAAAAAAAACAGTTATTCGAATGCAGCCTTGGTAAGCATAAGAAAGTTTTTCAAAATAACAAAATAAAACAGGAAACAGGAGCTAATGGGCTCAGTGTCATTTTTTTATTAAATAGTCAAGGAACAATCAACTACACACTGAAAAACCTACAACTCCTGAACAAGGCGGATGGAGCCGACAGTAGGATTCATGGCATTCCAGTCACTGAAGCGGCGGTACTCGCCTCTCTCCAACAAGTACTGACGTCCCCTGTAGTTAGGATGCTCGAAGAAGACCCAGGCTCCCCCCAAAACGTTACAGGACTGGACCTCACGGTGACGGAAGCGGTCATAGACATGGGGCCAGTCTTCACTGCACTCCATAATCTGACCCTGAAAGTCAGGCCGCTCATACAGACGGATTCGGAAAATGCCAGTGTGCTACAACAGAGAGAGTAGTTTCTCAAATATCATAACAAATTCATTTACGAAAAGCAAGCAAAGCAGCATATCCAAAATCCAAATCATCGTAATGTAAATGCTAAACTAAGTCTATGGGGGTGGTTTAAATGGTTTACAGGACTGTTTTCCCTGCCACAAAATCACACAAAATAAATTCAGATGCATATTGGAGTTTTTGTTTAAATCTCTTTCAAGAACAAATCAAACATTCAGTGGGAAACAATTTTAAGTGTAGCGTCAGTTCTGGCAGGTCACATTAGTCAAGCTCACATCAGCTGATCCACGTCTACCTATAGGAATATGACACCTATCACTGTATAGATATATAAGCTCCTTCAGTATTATCAGCAGCAATCACATTTCTCAGTAGCTAATTACCCTCCTCCATCTCCAACTCCTCTTCTCGTGCAGTCAGTATTTGGCATGCTGATTGCCTTTTGAATCAGAATAAATTCTCGAATTATGTTGTACTTTAAAATTAACGAATGAATTAACGATATCTGCAATACATTCGTGGTTCTGTTCTGTTTACCCTAAGGAGGTTATTGCTGCTCTCCCTTCTCTTATATTCATGCTAGACTGCATGGATGCACAGGGAGTTCTTGCCCAGAACAGAACCATACACAAATCCAAACTGTATTCTAATTGTCAATCGTATTTGACGATAGTGGTCCTGACAGAAACAGTGTTATTCAGAATCTATCAGAGTTTAGGGCCAATAATACTCTTCCTGAATGATTAGTGTCAAACATAATGTCTAACATAGGAGACTGATTTTGCTGGAAAAGAGGAAAACAGACTTGCATTGTGAATAATAGCCTAGCTACGGTTCTTCAAACAGGGATGACTTACATTTCGCACCATGCGGCAAGACCTAATAGAGTCATTGAACCCCATCCAGCTCTGGTAATCAGGATACTCTCCCCTGGTTAGGATGTACTGGCAGCCCATGAAGTTTGGACGCTCATACAAAACCCAGGCCCCACTCTCGACTTGAATGGCGTTACAACGGCTGAAGTGGGACGACAACTCTGGGCAGTCCATGCTGCACTCAAAGGAACGTCCCTGAAAGTTTTTGTCCTCATAAAAGACAATCTGTATGAGAGAAGATGTAGAAACACAGATAAGCCATAAACAAGACTGTAGAGACAGTTTATGCAAGCAAAATATTTCTTACTTTTCCCATTCTGTCCATGTTCGGGGATAATTTGATTCCTCCTTTTGCTGTGCTGTGAATTAAAAGGAGAATGAGTGAGATTTATATGTTTCACATTAAGTTGCTCTGCCAGGCAAATCATTGTTATATGAATGGCTCCAGCAATTGCATCATCAACAGCTGATACTGCAATTGTTTCTAGATTGTTCATGTAGATTAATGCAGTGGCCATTGAATGAAACCCTGACCTTTTGATTCTGCAATGGCTGAGTACAGAAAATATTTATTGGGCCAATTCAATTGTTTTCCAGCTGCTGGTATACTGGCAGAGTTTAACCTCTTAACTGTCACCCCCCCCCCCCCCCCTTTTTTGAATAGACATGAAAATGCACATTTCGAACTTAAATGGTTGTAATTCAAGAATGCTTTGGAATATAGACATATGATTGGTCTTGTTTTAAAGAAGACATTTGGCAGATTTGTGTAGAAGTGAAATAAATTAAGAAAGTGAAACAGAAAAAAAGTTATAGAAGTTTGAGTTTATGGAAATGTACAATGTAAAAATATTAATTATTCATATTTTACATAAAATATATATTTTCAAAACCTGGGCTACTCTAAAACGGAAGAAAGATCAAAGCCAAAAATCTGAACAAGTTGTGTTTCAAATTTTAGGTTGATATCTCAAAAAATGAGCTTTCAGTAAGATTTTGTTTGGGCGCAGTACCAAAATTTTTCACTAGGGCACAATCAGACTCCATTACTGCCCATATAAGGGCGTCTGCATTTCCATTCGTGTTTTGAGTGATATGAACCATTATTTTCACAATTTTCATACAATTTCTGAAGTAGAGATCCTATTCAGAAGTAGCATGGGAAGTTTGGCAGATTTTGAAATGAATTGAACCTCTAAGAAACACATACAAAGAACACGCATGTAAGTCATAGCTAGCTGCCACGTCACAAATGGTTAATTTATTATTTTTTTCTTGATATTTCAAACTTTTCAGACCTTTTTTTCCAAAATAATTGAATGGATTCTATCTTTTGAACTTTTGGCATGAAAACAAACTGAGGTTTCTACCATTTTTTTTTCCTGATTTTTCATGTTAACTGCTATTTTAAAATAAAGGTCTGAACACGCCTTATGAGTATGAAAATATTCTTGTTGCATATTGATAAATTATGGCTTCTCTGTAATATATTTTGAAAATCAGTCACCTAATATGGAAACTAGAGATTGTAAGCTTTCAAATGATATATAGTTTTCCAATATTACTAAAGGTATTTACTAAGATATTATTGTTTTAAAAATATAGTGGCAAACGTCCCACCTGTGGGACGGTGTTAAGCAGCATCAACGCATTCTCACCCCAAGGCGTCACCTTTGACCATGCTTCAATATTTGACGTTTTAGGCGCCCTTTAGCGTCACGTACATGATGCGATCCTACGGCGTCATCTAACTGACGCTAAAGGAAAGCGTCAGTTAGAGGACGTGGTTAGGTTTAGGTGTGGGGTGGGCATACATGTGTGGCTCAGGTGTGATTGAACAGTGTTACACATAAAAACATACTCCGTCATTTTGTTCGTACAGGATATTGTTTAAATGGCATCTTTACTTATATTTGTGTACACTCGCAATAAAACACAACATTGTGTTTTTGTAAAATAAATTCATCAACATGTCCCCCGAAATGGAGCTAATTTTAAAATTAAACTAAAATGCTCACGGCAGCATGGGCATTTATAAGTGTGCTCGTCCACAGCGAGGAGCAAGCAGAACAGAGGGAACATTTTTTAGTTCATTCCTACTTCCACAGGAATTAATTGAAAACTCGCTCTACTCCGCACCATTATTCATTTCTTGTGCAGACTGCAGACGTCCATATTTTACACTTTCATTTTAGCGATTTAAAAGCCCCCAGCGGTGTCACACATTGAGTACCCAGTGGGAAAATATTCCCATAGTCACATTACTATATATTTACATAGAAAATCAATAGGCCTACCTCATTTTGAAAACAAAAGGGCAGTATAGCACTATGTATGATTTTTTTTTTTTGTTTAACCAAATAGCACTAAATTTAGTTAGCCTGTTTTAAACTTTTTCATACTTCTTGAATTGAAAAAAAGATTAAAATGGGTTTAGTTCTAATATTTGTAGAATTTTATATAAAAGAAATGGTGTATAATTACATTTTAGAAAGATATTAGCCATTTCCTGATTCTTCTTTAATCCCTCACCATACCAAAACCGTTACAATTATCTTTAATTTCATCATGTTGAAAAAGTTTGGCGTTAAATAAAATAAACTACTTTCAAGGAGTAGCTAAAAACTGAATCTGAAATCCACATTCAAACCAAAATATCAGACTTCCTGTTGGTCGTAGCTATTGACGGAAAATTAGAAAGTTGTCCGGCTTGATGAGAACAATATGCATACCAAACTTTGTTACTGTAGAAAAAATACACAAAACACACTTTTGTCAAAAGCATTTAAAAAGTGACGAATTTCCTGCTGCCAGTTGGTGGCGCTATAACTTTGACTCACAATATTTACATCCATCTGATTGGCCTCTTACCGCGAACACACTGCCGAAGTTTCATCACGATCAGTTAATATATGCAGAAGTTATAACAATTTGTGTTTCTCTTTTCTTGCCATAAAATTTGTATCCTCGCTAGGCCACACCGTTCGGGATATCAAAAATCCGTCCACATTTGGCATCCTCAATGTGCTGAACTCAAGCTCACCGAGTTTGATGGCAACTGAATGAAGAATGCCTTGGAAGAGAAGTTAAAATTCCAGAGCAAGCATTCTCCAAACAACCAATAATAACCGACTTCCCATTGGGCTGGCGTAAAACTTGACTATATGTGTGACTAAACTTAACTATGATCTATATGTGTACTGACTTTCATATTAATTCATGCAAGCGTTTTTGATCTATGGACAGAGTTTTGGGGACCCCGTTCCAGGGGGGCGCTATCGATAAAATCCTAAGGAAAAACAATAGGGCCTTTGCCTTTTCAAGGCTTGGGCCCTAATAATATTATTCCTAAGGAAAACAACAGGGCCTTTGCCTTTCAAGGCTTGGGCCCTAAATATCTGGCCAATGGGTGGACTTACTGAAAATATCCTTTGCACTCAAGAGTAAATTTACACTTATGTTCTGTTAAAAGAAAATATATAATAATTTATTTTTGTTTCTTGTTCAGAATATTTGGTGTAAAATAAATTACAATACACATTTATAACTTATACTTATAACTTAACTTATAATTTCTGCTCAATAGCTGCACACAGAGTATGAACTCGCAAAGCAGTCACTGATGTAACTATACATTAAATACTGGCTTATAAGAATGCTTTGTAAAGGGATACTCCACCCAAATTTAAATTCTGTCAATATTTACTCAACCTCAAGTTGTTGTAAATCTGTATGAGAACACAAAGGAAGATATTTTAAAGAATGACTGAAACCAAACAGTTGGTTGGCACCATTGACTTCCATAGTAGAAAAAAAAATACTATGGAAGTCAATGGTGCCAGAGTTCCTGTCGTTCTTCAAAATACTTTATTTGTGTTCAACAGAAGAAAGAAAATCATACAGGTTTACAACAACTTGAGGGTGAGTAAATGGTGACAGAACTTTCATTTTTGGATGGAGTATCCCTTTAATACGATTTTCAGATCACATATGTTTAGATCATTTCTGTTCAATATTATATTGTATGCTAACTGGCAAAATTAGAAAAACCTCTTCAAAAGATGCCTCTTCAAATTTTTTATTTTTCAATATGTTTTCAGTAGTTTCGATAACATGCTTTTATTTTAACAGTCTGTGCTGATCTGGCGAATGGAGCCCACAGTGGGATGCATGGCCCCCCATTCAGTGTGGCGTCTGTACTCTCCCTTCTCAAGGAGGTACTGACGGCCATGGTAGTTTGCATGCTCGAAGAACACACAGGGACCTTCATGGACCTTGCACGAATGGACCTCTTTGCAGAGAAAACGTTCCTGAGTGGACGGGGTGCTGTCTGTAACTTCCCATGTTTGGCCATCAAAATTGGGCCTCTCAAAGAGTTTCAGCTTGAGATGTCCCGTTACCTGCAGGAAATACAAATCATGTTTCTATGTATGCACCCAATTACACTGTTAACTTAGTAATTCAAAGTGATCATTTGTGCTGTCATTGGACTTACATGCCTGACTAAACGACAAGATCGGACACAGTCATTGAAACCAATCCAATGGTGATAATCTGGAAATTCCCCTGGGGCCAGTATATACTGATAGCCCATGTAGTTTGGCCGCTCATACAGAACCCAAAAGCCCCCCTTCACCCTTGCAGAATTACAGCGGCTAAAAAAAGAATGCAGGTCACTTGTGTCCCCCTTACACTCATAGAATCTTCCCTGGAAGTTCCTGTCTTCGTAGAACACAATCTGTCAAAAACAGCAATGACAGTTACATTGTGCTAATACATCATGACAGACTGTGGGATATGGACAATCAGGGATAAAGAGGCACTTACGCTCTCAGTCGTCATTGTCCGATGTGATATGTTGGATGGCAAACTGCCTGTAGCCTTTATAGAAGTCCTGAACAAAGGCACAGGTTGTAAAAAAAATGTAATCAGCAATTCAAAAAAATTATCCAAGCTCAATGTATTGTTCTAAAGCACTGAATCATAGATTTATTCAACAATAAAATTGTGAGTACCAAGCATCCCAACCACCACCAATGAATCCTATGTTCAGGCTTTACAACATGCACTTTGTTGGTGTATACTTAGTCAGCTCAGGGTGATTATTTGTTACCACAAAAATATCTTCTGCATTCAAATATTTGCCAACAGCATCCTCACACTTAGCAACACAACTATTTGGCAATGATTGACAACATGATATTACATTTAATTGAATTGAATGAGGCATCTACATAATGCTTTACTATACACTACTGTTACGGTGCACCTCCCTTCCTCCCTTCAATCATTACACACATGATCTGAGGAAAGTTTGTGTCCATGCATCTTTCATTCAGTT